AAAAAAAAAAAAAAAAGACATTTGAAACAGCTTCAAGAAACTCTTGAAAAATTACTCACAGTAAATGGGTAGAAAGCCACTTACCCCCAGTTGCCACAGTAATTTCACGTAGGAAATGGCCATAAAATGGAAAATCGAAGGACAGATTCACTCTCTGTAAGGAAGAGCACCAGAAAAGCAAAATCAACGAAGTGTAGAATTGTGACACACAAAAAATGAAGAGCTATCTACTTCATAAGGTGATTTGCCCATTGACTGCTGCCTTCAACGTTTGTTTTTGTTTTGTCTTTTACTTAACATAAGAAATGGTATTCTGGGTTAGACCAATGGTCTATCTAGCCCAATATGCTGCCTCTGACAGTGGCAAGTATTATATGCTCGAGAGAAAATACCTAAATTGGTATGTCTCAAAGGATCCATCTTCTGTCATACACTCCCTGGCACTTAATTTTCATTAGTTTAGGAATCTCAGAGGAAACAACCCTGACTGCTCTATTCAACAACTCCCAACGGGCCTGATCTCCTGAATGTAATATCTTTTTGAACCTGGCTAAACTATCCATGCGTATAACTTCCTCCTCTTGTTTAACTCCCCTGTTAATTTTAATAGGTCCTTCCTAGTTCTTTATTTTGAGAGTTGGTGAATAACAGTTTCCTACTCACTTTATCCCTGCCAGTCATGATTTTATAAACCTCAATCATATCCCTCCTCAGCCTTCTCCTTTCCAAACTGAAGTCCTAGCCTTTTTAGTCTCTCCTGGTATGGCAGCTGCTCTGCACTCCTATCATGTGTGCTGTCCTTCTTTGTACTTTTTCTAGTTCTACTTCATTCTTTCCTGAGATATGGACAACAAAACTGCATACAGTATTTAAGACGTGGGCACCCCATGCATTTATACAGTGGCATAATGTTTTATGCTGTATTTTTCTTTCTTAATGATGCCCAACAAGCTACTAGATTTTTTGGTTGCTGCTGCACACTTTTTAGAGAACAAGTGTCTTTGGTGAGAGACCTTGTCAAAGTCTTTTTAAAAATCCAAATAAGTCTTGGGTAAATACCATCTCATCCTAGTGATTTACAGTTTGTTAATTTATTAATTTGTTGTAAAACCACCTTTGTTACTTCAATTTGATTTAATCCATTTAAAAATAATTGATCCAGTGTAGGAATCTCCCCAGTAATAGGAAAGATGAATGCAAGAAATTAATTTGGCTTTCCTGCTGTGGCATTCTTGAATACCCCTTCTACGCCATTGTGATCTAATGACCCCATCCACTCTCTGTCTGACTTTCCAATTCCGAGGGCCCCTCAGACATTCATGTAAAAGGTGATAGGATCTGATGTGTGATCCATACAACCATGTCTCCTGCAATACATCATATGAATGGCAGGAGTCCTGACTGTGGAGTCCAGCATCAGAACCAGTCATGCCTTGCTGGTGGTGCAGGGGGTGGGGCCTGAGATCACAATCACAGCAAGTATCAAGTCCCTGGAGCTGCAAGTCCAGCTGCGGATGGGATTCACAGCCATGGCAATGTTCCCATGCACTGCCATGGCTGGGAACCCCACAGCTGACAGGACTCCCAGTCATGGTGGCTCCCCACACATTATCATGGGGGCCTCAGCCTGGAGTCCCAGCAGCTGCAGGATTTCCACTGTGGTACTTTGTGGGGTGCCCTTATGACTGGGATCACTGTTTTCTTGAACAACTAGTCCTGGAACCCACACGTTCAAACTGAAATAACTGGACAGAAACCAGCAATCAAGTTATTATACATTTTCCAACGCTAACTTTATACTTGGATAGACTTTTTATGCTTTCCATTTTCTGAGCAAATCCTTTTTGCCAATGATAGCTTTAACTTTTTGAATCATGCAGGGGGGAGGGGTTTGTACTGCTTGGTACCCTTTATGATTTGCAGTATACAATTTTCCTGAGCCTCTACTATGTTTTTTTTTTTAAGCACTTCGCAAATTGCCAATGATTATTATTTTCTTGATGCTCCTTTTAACTTTTTCCTAGCTAGTTTCCTAATTTTTGTATAATTTCTCCTTCTGAAGTTAAATTTTAGTGTGGTAGATTTTTCTTGGCTTAATTCCCTCCTAATAAGAGGTTTCACGTGCTTATATTATATTGACTATTACAAGAACAATTCACCTACATATACCTCCTGAATCAGGTCCTTGTGTTACTCAGGAGTAAAATTAGACATGCTTCCTCTTGTGGGTTCCAGAAAACAGTCAGCTATTTTATCTAGAAATGTTCCTCTTTGCATCTCACTTCAATGAAGTATTTTTCCAGTTTATGTAAAAATAACTGAAGTCTTTTATTATTACAAACAGCCCCCAAACAGATAGTTCCATCTGGCAATGAGTAGTCAAAGTAGCTTGGGTAAAATTTCCACTGAGAAAGTTGGAAATTGACTTTCTTGAAGGAAAAAAAATGTAGCAGAGATAAAATGGTATCTGCATATTATCAAATACACTGACAATATTTAAAAAAAAAAAAATCAAGATATTTATTCTCACAGGAGAGGATTATATTATATATTATCACAGATTTTTAATAACTTATTTGGCATGAAATTAATCACTGAAGATTTACAGTGACTTTAAATTAGATTCTCTTTCCTCTTAAATGCTAGGGAGAATTTTGAAGAAATTTATTAGCACAGGTTTTTTGTTTATTTACAACTAGTAACAAAAACCATTTTCATTTTGCTAATTGTACTAAGTTCTAATGGTCTTTCATGCTTATGTATGTGTCTAAATAAATATATAACTGAACAAAACAAATGAGTTTAAACAAAGTTTTTTTGATAAGCATTTTTATTGCTGACTAACAAGAATTAATGTATGCAATTTGTTTACAGTGTGTATATTTTCTATCAAATATTTTCAATTACATGGTTAACAGACCAATTTTTCTGAATGAAACTTGTCTCAGAAGTGTGTTAAAGGATTCACAGTAAAATCATTACCTCCTCCAGAACTGAGGCAGAAAAAAAAAAAATGCTCTGCAAACAAAAGAGCACTAAAGTAAAACATTCTACACTTTAAAAACAGGAATTGTAATCCATGTAACTATTTCTTCTCTTTCTTTTTCTTTGCCTTTTCACAGACCTAAAAGTAGATATACCACTTTTGCTTAAAATTCACTAGTCAGTTCCAACCAGATCAAAAACGTATCTGTTCAGCTCTTTCACAATAGCTTTTACAATATTAGACAGCTTTGACAAATAATGATACCCCCTCAGGAGTCTAGCAGGCTTCTGAAGTACTGAACTAAAGTTGCATATAATTTTAAAATCTGTGGTATGTAAAAGGCCTGATCCAGTGCCCTTTCAAGTCAATTATAAAGCTACTATTGACTTCAATTTTCCAGTGATCCACTACATTTTGAAACTCTAATAACTGTTTAATATAGGTGACTATTTAAATCTTGATATTGTAAAAAAGGACCAAAGAAGTTTCTCAGGGCTGTTTTTGAAAAAAAGGTGTATATTAAGGATAATCCCAGTGAAAGCCAATTCTCATTTTTCCTGCTGGAATGCTCAGATCAAATTTTGCTCTATTTAGCACCTCTGCAGGAGAAAGACTATGTATAATAGACAGGATGTGTGCTCACAGAGGAAATTTTGCGTGCACTGAAAGTCAGTTAGGAGATGCCTAACCTACCTATTCTGGCATTAAAATACAAGTGGAATTTAATTTTAGTAGGAAAAAAATAGTGAGGAGGTATTTCAGGTAGGAAGATATAGGCCATTTGATTCAAGTTTAGGAGAGAAAATAAAAACAATATTAGTGGATTTTTTTCATGCTTCCAACACAATTCACTTAATAAAATTCGCTAGCCACTGATAATATTGTTCAGAAGATCTACATACTTGATAGCACAATTACCTTGCTCCTTATCCCTAAAAACATGAGCAAGGCAGCCAATAGGAGACTTAAAAAGTTTTAGGAGTATACCAGTAGCATCAACTTACCTTTAGGTTAAACCAACATTTGGCCTAATATTTCATCTTATTTTTCAGGATGGAGAAAGGATAAGAGCATAATTCTCAGCACTCCCATTTTAAGACATATAGAAAATATAGACTACCATTATGTCAGATACTGGTTTCATAATTCATCAGTTTTAGTTACAATCTCACTGAGCAGTACTGATGTAGGTCTTGCAATAGAGTTTCATAGGTACAGCTGTTTTAATAGCTATAAAACTTGATAGTGACGTTGTCAATGACCACTGCCTCTTTTCTCATTACTATTTTTTCTCAATTTTCCCAGGTTCTAATTTTCCAAAAATTCTGTTTTTCATAAAGAAATTAATGTAAAGAATTTTCTGCTACCCTATGGAACAAGAGGACCAAAGAGAACAACAAAATGCCTAAGCCCTCAAATATTAGCAGTAATTCATTATGAAATAATAAAGAGACCTGAGGCTAGACTGTCTTGCATTCAAGAACTTGTCTAACATTTTTCCCAATGACATAGTTGGTCCCAAAAAAGTTATCACCCTAAGAAATCCTTTTTTTCTCAAAATAATAAAAGCAATTTTTAAAAGGAGGACAAAAACAACATCAGAACATCTCAATCAAAAAATGGGGGGGGGGGGGAATATAGAGAGAGGCAAAACTATTCATTCACCAAGATAGATGGCAGTTTTGAGATTTTCTTGCTGCAAATTTAAGGAAAATTAAATGACCAAATCATAGGTTTACAAATTCTGCTTGAACTCCAAATAGTTTACAAGGGGATACAACAACATTTGACTTCTCACACCCATTCAGAATCCCCAAATGATAAAAACCAATTGAACAGTAAGATTTTGATAAAAATCTGACTCCTAATATTTTGGATCCTTAGGAAATCCTCAGAATCTAAACGACTAAAGACCAAATCCACATTGGCAAATTAAGCATCTAATTGGGAACTCAGGTTGAATCAAAGCACCTAAATTTCAAGAAGCAATCCAGAATATCACTTTTCTAGATGCTAAAAGATTTAATAGGTACTTAAATTCATTTAAGGCCTAGGTATAAAATGCATCATCCCTAGGACTAGGGACAGAAGTTACACGTAAACCATTTTAAATGATCAGAAATTGGCTTAACCTGTTACAGAACGCAAGTTCAGTGCACATAAACCAGTTTTAAAATGGCCAAAATTGGTTTAAGATAAAACGTGGCTGAATGTAGTATCATACTTAACTGATTTGGGTCAAACCGGTTTACATAACTTCTGTCCCAGACTCCTTCCTGATTTAATTTAAATCAGAGTCCCCCAGTATCCCTGATGCTTTGGAGCTGGGGGGAGGGGCGGGGGGGGGGGG